GTGTGTTCAATGCTTCGTTCATTCATCTTATGCTATACGTGAATACACAGCAGCTCAGCTCACTTCATTGTATGCTTATGATGAAAAGGCAAATATACAGTACCAACAAAAGAAGGCCCAACAGCTTTAAATTCCTCGCGCATTTCAGTTTCAGCCCTCACCTATCGATGTATATTACGATTCCACTACCGTAGCTGTAGTTATTGCTCCTACCACTGTTTCATCTTGGATACAGATATTGCCACTGGTGAACGTCAATTTGATTTCGGATATCGTTTCATTAGCCATCTTGCTTATAACCCGTCATATAAAGTCAAATTAGATACTAAGATACGACACCTTTTAATTCTATCTGACCCTTTTAACTGCTATATATTTTATACAAGCACGTGAATCATTGTATTCCATACCCAACCGCATTTTTCAGTTTAAATAATACCAGAGCTCTTCTGTTCTGATACTCGACTTTTAGCCCGCGGATGTTGAAATGATGCGCCTTTATGAGGCTATAGATGAATCTGAAGCCACCGTTTCCGACGTTCAGCAGACTTCATCTGAAAATGATTTAGCTTCGATCCTCTTAGGAGCGGATACCGACGAAGCGGGGGAATCACAGTCTGATTTAGACAAGAACATTAATAATACTGATGATGCAGCTTATTGCCCCAAAGTGATGAGTTCTCTCGGTGGAATGAAGCGAGCGTTTGTCGCCCATGTTCCTGTGTACACTCAACAGCAAGTAAGAGTCAATCTGAACTACTTTTCTCGGTGTATTAATTATTAATTTTAGCCTCACTCACTTGCTCAACAAGTCTTTGCCTGATATTTTCGGTTATTGTGTATTTACTTAGCACTGAGTTTTATAGAGGATTTAATCTGATCAAATGAGATTATATCAGGCGTATTTTTTCATCCAAGTGGGGTAAAAATATATCAGTTATTCTTCAAATTACGCCCTTTTCAAGAAGCTTCACTGAAGCACTCAGTCCATATGACGTTTCATAAAAGTGATAAGATTAAAAATAAATTTCACACCTTATTATCATCTATTATTTTTTACTATCAGGATCAGCGTAAACTTACCTCAAAGCCATCCGACACGTTTGAACTGGGTAAATCAGTTCAAAGCAATTGCACTTTTTTCTATATTTTTTATATTCTTTAATGGAATTGAGCTCTAGCATTTGCGATATTTTTTACATGGATGTTTGCTATCCATAGCTATCTACTTTTCACCATTTAAAAGGGCCCGTCCTACCGTATTCTTTAGCAGTTTAGAGTTGTTCCCGCTAATTTTTACCCCTGAGAATACGAATCTCACCAGATTCAACTACTAACTAACATAGTTAATTTATTTTTTTAGCTTATAAGTAGGCTTTAGAGACCAGTAGATCAGATGTATGAGATTTATTCATCCCATTCCGTTCAGACTGGTAGTTGAATTTTCCCATATTGGTATGAGTATACATGATGTTTCCGTTGAATTTCATAAAAGGTATTCTCATCCTCTCAGGTCTTATCAGCACTCCCGGCGGGACTCGAATAATGATAGTGCAGTGTATAATCTCGACACGTTACCCACTACGCCACATTGCCACGTGGACTTTTAGGTCACGGGGCAGATGTGAGGTTCATTTAATACTCTTTTTGCTTAATTATTTTTAATATTTTCCAAACTATAACTCGTCAAAGAGACAGGTGAAGTCAATCCGTTGACCAACTTTCTGTCGAAACGGTTGTACTATCACTCCTCGTTCCGTTCAGGTCCCTCTATCAATTGCATACCCTCTTATCTCGCCCTCGTTCTATCACAACTTCTGACATGCTTATATTCCACAAGGGATGTGCCCTTTGGCGAATTTACCATGGTGTCGACACACCTGCTACTTGCCTTGCTCCACTCCCTTTCGAGTGGCTGATCCGACTCGAGCTTCCTGTCCGGATCTGCCTTATGGGCCCGTAGGTCCATTTCTTATCTTTCTGGTTGGCCGATTTTACTCGGTTCCAACCAAAATATACTTTAACTCCAGGTGCTATTTCTTAATCCTTCAGTAGCACATAGCAATTCGTCTCATCGGCAGCGCGCCTAGGCTCTGATTCCCATGCTTGAGGATACTAGGCATTACATTTACGCATCATCTCGATTAAATCCGTGTACCCTGATCAAACTGTGGACTTCTATCTCTGGTCGTCCTCTGCATCTCAAGTGGATTATCAGCAA